GTGGGGAAGGTGTGGGCTGCGTCCCGGTGGCGCCGTGTTACAAACTCCCGAGGTCGCCTCTGTTCCCCGGCTGGGACTCGCCGATGTGTGGCCCGGATTTTGTGTCGCGGTCGCCCGAACGCCGGGTTGGGCGGTGGGAAGTCGGTGTGGAACCCCAACCTGCCGGGCACCCTGGGGAGGGGGGTGTTTTGGATGCACGTCCTGCCTTTCCCACAGAATTGCTTCAAGCTTGGGGTTTTTTTTCTCAGTGGGCTCCTGTGGGAAAGGCCATTCCCCACGTGAAGCCGCGCAGACTTTATGCCCACAGACTATACGCCCACCCCGCTGACAGATCAATAGGAAGATTTCAGCCCTGATGTAGGTTTATTTTTTCAACATCGCAGAGTGCTGGTTTGTAAAACATGTCTGTTCCTGGAGGAACACCTTGGTGGAAGCTACATGCCCGAATAATGTAAAATTGAGTCGGGTAATAATTAACCTTCTTTCTGAGTTGTCTCATCATAATTATATGATCTTTGCTTGATGACTGCAACTTTGGAATTTCTGCCAAGTATTATTCAGATATGCAGGTTGCAAAATCTTTGCAGGGAAGGCTGGGAGAGTTTAAATTAACAGCTAGTTATTAAATATGGCAGGTAAGAAGAGACAAACCTGTAAGAATCATGATGTGGGTGTTGGGTTTCACATGTTGAGGCCATTCCAGATATCTGACACACCATTTATTACAGAAATAATGTATTAGTGGATCTGATTTAAAAGCTGAGTAAGTCACCAGAGACCCTGCAGACTCATAATATAGGGAGACATACATTAAAAGATTATTTTGAAACCTAACATTTCAAGTAGTTTCTCTGGAAATCCATCAAAAAATTTGCTTGTAGAAAGCTTTGCTTGCTAATTTGAAGTTGTTAAGCATTGTTGTAAAACTGTAGAAATAAGATCAGGAACAGCTTCTTGAGTAGACGTAGTTATTTTGTTACTTGAGTAAAACCAGCAAAAAGCATTGAAAATTCTGCTTTAATAAAGCCTTGCTGTTTGAATACTTTTTCATGTTTTTTGATTCTTACACCTTCCTGGCCAAAAAGCGCTTTGTAGGAAGATAACACGCATATGTGTGCAAAAATGTTTCCATGAAGTCACAGAAGTAGCTGTGGTGTTCAGGACTGGTTGCTGGTTTAAATCCCTAATAAGCATTTTGTCCTTCCCCTTCAGCTCAACCCAAATGTAAGTGTGTTTCAGAGAAAATTTGTCAATGAAGTAAAGAAGTGTGAAGAAATGGAGAGAATACTTGGTGAGCTTTGTTTTCATGTCTGCCCTTTCTCATTGTGGCATTATTAAGATTTGTGTTGCTTAGAGTCGAAATACAGTGAAGGTTTCAGGTACAGATTTGTTTAATCTTCCCAGTCTTGTATGATCAGAATGCTGGAGAATCTTTCAAAACTTAGAGATGTATGAAAAAATACACAAACATACACGTGTAGAGTCTTTATGTAGATTTTTGGAGCAAGACATGACTTGGCTGTAGCACTGAATTGGGTCAGAACACACAGATATATTCCTTAATCCACGTTAATATGCTGCGTCAGTTTTGAGTGTATCACAGAATCACTGAAGCTGGAAGGGACCTCTCTGAGATGATCTAGTTAACCTCCAGCTCAAGCAGGGACAGGTAGTGCTGGTTGTCCAGGGCTATGTCTGGTGGGATTTTGGACGTGGAGATTCTGCAGCCTCTCTGGGCACCCTGTTCCAGTGTTTTACCACTGATCTCTGGTTCTTGGTTTTGTGAGCTGTAAAATCTACTTACACTACAATGCCTATGTGCTAAATACAAGTTGGGTATTTTTTTAAGCTCGGAGATGAAGAAGAGATGCTGATGTGTTGCCGATAAATTGTTGGGACCATTTCAGTATTTGCTGCTTAAAACTTGGCTAGGAAAATAAAAGCTTTACTCTGCATATTTCCTTGACTGCAAGATAAGCCCTGTTTTTCACATTATGTAACTCAATACTGTTGAACTTCCAAGCACCTTCAAAAATACCTCAGGTTATTAATAATTGTATTCACATGATAGTTAATGAATAGAGAAGGATATGCAGAGCGTTGCTGCCAAGTTGCAGATTTCTTCAGTGTATCCCAAGGAAATGTTACTGTTGAAGGATTCTTTTATCGGAATTTCTCATCAGAGGCATGTGCTGGTCATGCCAAACCATCCCTGTAGCTATTTCAGCAATCTCCCTGCCCAGCATGAGTTGTGTTTGTTGTCAAGGTTGCTTAAGTCTCCTTGTCTGAACACTTTTTATTCCAAATGTCGGTCATTGAGCAGAATGTTAATTTTTGGCAGATGGCACGAGTAGCAGAAACTGTTATCTTGCAGCAGCAGTTACTATGAAATGTTGAAAGTTTCTTAAAAAGTACTTGTGGTTGGAAAGTTTCAGTCAGAGGACTCTGAAGACAGCGTACTTCTGCAAACCTCCAGGACAGACCCTAGCACTCGTTAAGTCCCTCTTTTTTAAAGACCCTAGCGTGTATGTTGTGGCACCATCAATAACAGATGAAGATCAACTCTGCAGCGTTTAGGAAGTGTAAGGAAATACCATTTCCTTTCTGATTCTGTTTTTCTTCTCACTCTAGGGTATTTAGTACAAGAAATTAAAAAGGCAGATATTCCACTTCCTGAAGAAGATGTTGCTCCTCCTGCCCCCTTGCTGAAACACATTTTAGAAATCCAGGTAATGTTTTCACATAACAGAAAAAAAGCATAGCTCTAGGTCTTGGAACTTGCATTCAAACTTAATTACTTGCTATCTTTTTAACTAAAGTCATAAGTTAAAGGGATGTGGCAGGGGGGAGGCGGAAGCATTTACTTTCAGTTTTGTCCATTTTTTTCCTTCTTTCTGTCAGTTCTGACTCTAGTATGTGTCCAAGCTAAGTACTGCAGACTCAGAATTAGAACTTCAGATAGTACAGTCCTTCAAAGACTGCCAGTGAGGGTTTGATATTAACACAGTGTTCCTGTGAGAGGGTCAAAGCTAACTCGTGGGGTGTGCAGTCATCTGTTTTATTTTGATGGATTGGCATAGTATACCGTTCCAGGCGAGTTGTTTTCTGTAGATGTAGTCCTTCAGCCTCGTTTATTGCTTTAGGACTTACCTAAGGCTCTTTTTGTGCATCCAAAGTCTCCAGGGTGTGTGGGAGTTCTGTATGCCCAAGGCTCTGCAGGTTTGTCCTGGTCTGAGCTAAGGAGAATCCAGCCCAAACCCTTGACAAGGTTCCAGTGGTGCTGTTTTCTCTGCTATAACGTTAGAAGTAAAAGGTTGTAAGATGCAGGTATAATTTTGACTGACATTCTGTTCTGCTGTAATTCTGTTAATGGAATAGCTGAGTGTCTTCCACCCTGTACTATCTGAAGTTCTAATTCTGAGTCTGCAGTACTTAGCTTGGACACATACTAGAGTCAGAACAGCAGGCTTAACAGATGCCAGTGGAGGATCAAGTGTACTCAGTACAAAGCAGCCTTTGGCAGACTGAGGAATAAAACCTGTGGAGCTTAAGTTAATTAAGAAATTGGGAAACTCCCATCACTTCAGCAATTTAACACAATGCTTAAAATTCATCCTCCTCTGATTTCCAAAGCAGTATCAGTGATTCTATGTTATTTTCTCCTCTTTGTCTTAGGAACAGTTGCAGAAGCTGGAGACAGAACTGAGGGAGGTAACTAAAAACAAAGAGAAGTTGAGGAAGAACCTGCTTGAACTGACAGAATACACGTGCATGTTAGAAGTCACGCAAAGATTTGTCAGGAGAACGGCTGAGGTACTGCTTAGGTTTGGCGAGGATTGTGTGTCATGTGGCGTTTCTGTTGCATGCTGTTAGTAGTTCTGGTTAAGTGTGGGACTTGGTGTTGGGCTTTAAAGCGCTGTATAATGTTCGGTATTGTTTGTGCTCAGTACCTAGAGAACCTGGCTGGCAAGCTCTTGTGCTAGGAGTGAAACACGGTCCTGCAGTTAGAGGAGCTTTGTGATTTGAATTGCTTCAGTGTCACTGCTGATGCCAGCTGAGAGGGAAGGACTGTTTTCGTTACTTTGATGTGTTAATTGTTCTACGAAATTTAACACGTAATCTTTGCAACACTTGATTATAATGGCTAAGAGTAGGACGCTTTAGGTCCCGAGATCACTCTGTTATTTGAATTGAACACAGGGAATGGTTTTATATTTTTAGTGAGCCGATTTACTTCACTAGCTTCTCTTCTTTAGCATTGTAAAAGAATGACAATATTTTTTTCTGAAAGCTATTAATGATCTTTCTTTTATTTGCTAGTATGAATCCCGTTTACATGCAAATTATGAAGAGTTTCCATCTGTGGAAAACGAGCCATTAGTGGATTACAACTGTATGCACAGACTGGGTGCCAAGCTGGGGTAGGTACGGTTCAGTCCTCGTGTGGCAGGTTGGCAGTGTGTGCTGTTCAAAACTGCGTGATCAGCTGCTCTATGTAATGATCTGTTTTCTTAAAACGTGGGATGTAGTGTGACTCTAGTGATTTCAGATGAGCCAAACAGTTTTAGACGGGGTAGGAGTTGGTTTCAAATGCACCTTTTTAACAAAACTGGATTATTTGAAGAGATAAATAGGACAGGACCCAAAAAAACCCTGTCACAAACCTTCCATCAAACTAAATATATGTGTTAAGGAAGAATCTTCAAATGCTCTAAATCAGCACTTTCTTCTGCTGTTCAGACTCTTTCTAGGATAAAGACACAGTGTTTTAATCACTTGGCAGCATCAGTTGTAAATGTAACGTGCTATTGCCTACTAGTCTTTAAGATGATGTATGTGCACCGCTATCTGCAACATCAATATGAGAGGATATCTTACTGAGAAGAAACTAAGAATCTTGCTATCGCAGAGAGAAATTATGTCGGATGTAGTTTTAGTTCTATGCACAGGCCTATGGTCTTGTTTGTTTTCTAAACAAATGGAATCAATTTTATATACCGGTTACTTCCTGCTTAGGGTGATGTTTCCTCCTCCAGAGGTGGCAGATGTTAAATTACTGTCACTGTGTAATCCTGAGTGGTGATGTACTCAGTTTTTAATTTTTCTTGTGGATTTTAGCTTTACTTTTAAAAAAAAAATATTTTTTTTTAATAGGTTCATATCGGGGCTAGTTCACATGGCAAAAGTTGAAGCATTTGAAAAAATGCTGTGGCGAGTCTGTAAAGGCTATACTATTCTTACCTATGCAGAGGTGGATGAATGTCTGGAAGATCCAGATACAGTGAGTAAACATTGTAACTATCAGTTTATTTTGTTTGTACTTTTCATAAGACCTGGAAGAATTGGTGCTCAGGTCTGCCCGCCGCAGTGCATGTAAATGATTTCCCATTGCCCTTGGAGGGAAAGCTGTTTTAAATCCTACAACTTGTAAAATTTAAAAATTAGACCACTGTAATGGTGCCACCATAACTATAGGAGTGGAAATTAATTTGTCGTGGTTTTGTGGAATAGTAGTGACTTTATTATTGTCTGCCTTGGTCAAAATATGTGGCATAAACGGCTATTTATTAACTAGATCTGTACAGTGTGTTACCTTTTAATAGTAATTTTATTCCTTCAGTAGTTAAGGAAAAAAGTGTGGAGTACAGTTGGTCATCTATGAAGTTTTTTCTCTGAACTTATAAAATTTTGTAAATCAGTGATTACAGCTGCCTAATCTGTCACTTTTAAATTTTGCTTCAGTTCTAATTTGTAACATTTTAATTTTTTTTAGACTTTTGTGTTACTGTTGATTCTGAGATGGTAAAATGTATTATCTCTTATTTTCCCTGAAAACATTTTCTGTGGTTTTTTTCCTAATTATTCAGATTTGTAATTTTGCTCTATAAATACGTTACAGCGGAGTTGTTGGTTTCATCAACTTTTTTTTTTTTTTTTAGGGTGAAACCACAAAATGGTTCGTCTTTTTAGTGTCCTATTGGGGCGAACAAATTGGACAGAAAGTTAAGAAGATTTGTGATTGGTAAGAAGTAAAACTAATATATATAATTTATTTCTACCTGGGTTATTTCCCTGTTAGTTTTCCCCTTGCCCCTCTTCCTTCTATATGTTGATTTTTAGGCAAGGCTTTTGAAGTTAAATTTGTTCCCCTCTTGTATCTAGCTTTATAATTACGCCGCATAAAAATAAATGTATGAGTCATTTTATCTGCGGTCCTTACTAAGTACAGGCAAAATACTCTCAGTTAAACACGTTCCATGGTTATTAAATGATGCGTTGCAGATTTGGCTAGGGCATGCGGTTGGTCGATTTTCTTGGTTTAGTTTGGTTATTTAACACAAACTTCTGCTTTTCTGTAGCTATCACTGTCATGTGTATCCCTATCCGAACAACACGGAGGAGCGCAAGGCAGTTGTTGAAGGACTCAATGTTCGTATTCAGGATCTTCATACTGTGAGTAAATGACAATATTCCCTTTGCTGTAGTTACTGACCACAGGAGATCATTTGGTGAATCACAGCATTAAATAAATGTGTGTGTTCCTGAAATCCGTACAGCTTTGGATCCAAACGTGACTGCGTGTTTTGTCTCGTGTTGCACGTATCTCTTAAACTTCGGGGCCTTTGGCACTGCTTTCTGTTTCTGGTTAGCGTACCCTCCTACCAATGTAGGAGGTATTGGACAAATACGAGGTACTCTTGTGGTGGTTAACACAACCGCTGTTACATTTTCAATAAAATCTTCTTGTTTCTTTTCCTTGCGCAAAGGTGCTGCATAAAACCGAGGATTACTTACGCCAAGTGTTGTGTAAAGCATCTGAATCCATCTATACCTGGGTTATCCAAGTGAAGAAGATGAAAGCCATTTATCACGTCCTCAACCTGTGCAGTTTTGATGTCACAAACAAATGTTTGATTGCTGAGGTTTGGTGTCCAGTGGCTGACCTGCAAAATCTGCGCCATGCGTTGGAGGAGGGTTCGGTAAGTCAGCTGAGCGCTCACTGATGTTAAACTTTTGTCTTGAACTAACTCTATGGATAAGGCAAGAAAACAATTTTTTTAAAGTAGGGACAGGCAGGTCTGAATCTCTATAATTCATATCAGATAATTTCTTTATAAGCAGAGCCTTTATTTAGTGTTGTGTGTGGTGGGATTTTTGTGGTTTGGTTTTTTGTGTTGGTTGTTTTATTCTTGTGTTTGTGTTGGACCGAAGTGTGACTGGGCTCACAATCCTATTTGTAGTTAAGTAGCGGGTGTCGAGTCCCTCATATTGAGTGCAGCTCTTTCTTTTTCTTTTATAAGAGAGATTTTTTTAGTAACAAATCTTAGTCTTATAATATTGATTGATGAATCTCATCTGATATTTCATATAAAGTAAGGATTAGAATGCTGTACATAGTCTGTTTTTAGAGGAACAGATTAATGTAATTATTTTTTAGGAACATGCAATGGGATAAATGTTAAATTTGGGGCTTATTTTAAGGATGGCTCAGGATCAGTGAAACTCCTGATAGAGGGAATGTTTTCACTTTGATTAGATTAAGCATCAACTGAATTTATATATAAATATATTTTCTCGCTGTCTGTAATTAGAGAAAGAGTGGAGCTACAATTTCTTCATTCATGAATACCATCCCAACATCACAACCTCCTCCAACTTTGATACGTACCAATAAATTCACCTCAGGGTTCCAAAACATCGTTGATGCTTATGGAGTTGGAAACTATGGGGAAGTTAATCCAGGTTGGTCCTTCTAAAATCTGAACTGCGAGCTGCACTGTCGTTACTGCTTGCCGTGCGGTGTGTTTAAATGCCTTGCTGAACTGGACACTAGTAAAGGCAAAATGGTGACAACCGTACTGCTAATTAGTAGCTGTTTAAAATTTCGGTAGTTCATCGCAAGTACAAATGCTGCTGCAAGCAGTAAGATGGAATTTGATTTTGCTGAGTTATTTTAGCATTGAAGGTGCTCATAATAGCTGTATAATGTTTCTTTATCAATTTTGCCTTGGATAAGATATTTAGAGGGGGGAAGAGGAAAATTTTGGTAATGGCTGTTGATCTTACTGAAGTGTGGAGCTCATCGCTTGAAAAAATCCAGCTTGTTGTATAGCCCAGTTACTTCTAATGTCCTTATGTATTTCTGTAGCTACGTTGACTATGTCATGCTATACAGGAAAATATATGTTATAATACAGAGGCAAAATAGTCATGGAGAAAGAACTGGTTGTTTGCTTTTTATTTCTGCAGTTCATATTATTATCCTCAGAATTGTCAGCTAATGCTCGACTGCAGAGTTTTTATTACTAAGGATACACAATAAACAAGCTTTAAACTGAGTGTGTGGGAAAGGTCTAATAGCAGCGGGTAAGATGTCTTGCAAATGTAAAAGCTGAAAATTGTTTGAGAGGTTAAAGGAGTTGAAATGCTCAGGCATAATTCAGATGGCAGCGTCCTCTATTTTGTGGTGTGTCTGAAATCCGTTACGTTGTCATTTCAGCTCTCTACACCATCATCACTTTCCCCTTCTTGTTTGCAATTATGTTTGGAGACTTTGGGCACGGCCTGCTAATGTTCCTATTTGCACTCCTGACAATCCTGTATGAAAACCACCCTCGGTTACGAAGATCACAAGATGAGGTAAGGGGAAGTCACGGGAGCTTGCATGGGGACTTCACATCTCTGCATTCGTTTTAAACTGCAATTGTCTTTTGGAATATACTTCTTGCCGCTAGCTCTGTTGCCTAACACACACAAACCTTTGCATAGAAATCACTGGACATAAAGCCATGAATGTGGGGAGGTGAATCGCACCGTTTGGTGCCTGACATTTGGAACTTGCAGATTCACATGCTCAAAGCAAATTCTCTGTGTATTGTTTTGACTGGCCTTAGATTTCTTCATAATCTGTAACGATTGTTTGCAAGAATTTTTAGAAGTCATTTTATGGCCCAAAACTGCGTTGCTCTTAGAAATATCTAGATGACAATTGTTCACATAGCGGCTGATGTTCTCTATTTTTCTTTTTTCCACTACTTACAGATAATGAAAATGTTATTTGAAGGCCGATATGTTATTTTATTAATGGGTCTGTTTTCTATATACACTGGATTGATCTATAATGACTGTTTTTCAAAGTCAGTAAATATATTTGGTTCTGGATGGAATGTTTCAGCAATGTTTGAACAGCAGGTTTGGAGGTGAGTAGCATGCCTTTGGTTGCTGTACCATTAAAACAACGATGTACTTCCTGCAAAGTTTAACCCTTTTGCTCACCCATTTTAGCTGACCTTTAATCGAGGGTAGGAAGCAAATATAGTGAAATCTAGCAAAATCTATTTGTTAAGGTAGCAAGTGCTAGTGCGTTAGGGGCTGATGCATCCATGCTTAGAATAAAAAAGGCAGTAATGGTTATTTAAAAAACAAAAATTAAATTAGTCATTATCTTAAATTCGGAAACCCACAGAGAATACAATTTCTTGCAAAACTACTGTTAGAATTTGATTATTATATTCAGTTCAGTCAGTCTGTCAGGTTAATCTCTTATTTAGTGGTGCTGTTTTACTGAATTTACATGTCCTCAGTCACCTGGAACACTTTCTAGTATATTGTAATTTGGTTTAGAGTCTTCTGGAACAAATTCTGTTGCAATATCTTTAAGCTATTAGCTAGCATACAGCATTCAGTGATTAAAAACTACAGCTGCCATAGTATCTTTTTACTGCTGGTAAGAACTTGCACCGAATTTTCTAATGTGGTCTTAAAAAAGGTGTTCTCATGTGGTCTTAAAAAAGGTGTTCTGATGACTGGCTGCAGACATCAGTAATATTGTAAAATCCGAACAGGAGGCACTAGGACTTTGTCATGTGTTCTTTTTATTTATAAAAAGTGCAAGGCCTCTTCTGTTACCCTTTGTCGTTACTATATATATATATTTTGAGGAATAGAAAACACAGGACTAGTTTTGGAGAAATTTGTCCTAGGTCACAGTTTCTGGAATGAATAACCAAATCACATTAGCATGTACTGTCAGGAAATTAACAATTAATGAAATAAATTAGTTGCCTAATAATCATTAGTTTCTGCACAACTTTTCTTGTTAGTAAAAAAGAAAAAAGTTCTGTGAATTGTCAAACCTACCTTTTCACGAAGTGGGATAAGCTCATTGTTCTGAGGTGTCACGACCCTTTGGTGTTTAAATATTCACAGTTCACATCTCATTTTGCCTTAAAAACAGGAAGTAGCTTAAAATAGTAGAGTCAGACCCACAGACTTAGGTTAAAGTGTGAACAGGTTGGGAGTGCTGTGTTAATTAAAAACTATATGAAGGTAGAGTGGAAACTCATCCAAATGCAAAAGGGAAAAAGATACCAATTATTGTTTGGGTCTTTGCCAGTGAATTTTATGTAAAAGCATATTGTGAGCTTTTTAAATGAAACTTTTGATTCTAGGGGAGTGAGGATTAAAATCCAGAAACTTTCATTTCAGAGAGAGTAAGTGTGAATTAAGCTCAGATTGAGAGCCTCCAGAGAGTTCTTTTTTTTTTTTTGCTAATGTTTTTATTAGCCAGGCCCTTTGTGTTTAGAAATCCTTTTAAAGTTTGGCTATGGGTGAGCTAGTCATATAAAGGAAAGGAGAGGCAGTGTCCTGCAGAACTGAAAGTGTATGTTGTGACCATGATTAAACAATGTCAGATCTAGTTGTGTTTGTTTTTTCTCTCCAGTCTTGACGATCTGAAACAAAATCCATTTTTAGCACTGGATCCAAATGTTACTGGTGTATACAATGGAGCTTATCCCTTCGGAATTGATCCGGTTAGTTTTATTCTTTTAAGTTATGCATTTGTGATGATCAGTCATTTGTAAATTAGATTTTGGCATGTATATTAGGAAGATAAATGTTACTATGGAAGAATACATTTCTGTTTGCATTCCCCATTCAAAAAGAGCTTTTCCCTTAATGAGTCAAAGAAAGGTGTAACTATTTTCTCGAAACTCAAACTAGTTTTCATCCTTGTTTGAGGTAGAATTCTGGTCTCCAATAGAGAAAGGACACGATTTTATTTCTCATATTACACTGTTCTTTAATGTTGATTTTGTCTTCTCTTCTTCAGATATGGAATTTGGCAAGCAACCGTCTCAGTTTTTTAAATTCTTTCAAAATGAAAATGTCTGTGATTTTTGGAGTGACTCACATGACATTTGGAGTTGTATTGGGGGTGTTTAACCACTTGTAAGTACAAGAATCATAGAATCATAGAATGACCTGAGCTGGAAGGGACCTTAGAGATAATTTTTTAATCCAGCCTCCCCGTCAGTTAAGATAATATTAACATAGTTTTGTCAAGTCATGAATTGTAACAGTTAATCTGGTAAAAGAAATTGGAACAATTCTTAAATATAGAATAATAGTAATTTTGAAAACTATTCTTAAAAAAACCCAAACCAACCAGTAATGGAGGAGTCTTCCTTCGCATAAATAGGATATGGATGAGTATTATGCCAAAATCTGAAGACAATGATTAATACAAGATTTTATTTCACTTGCTACTAAATAGAGATACAGATGAAGACCTCTATGGTCTTGATTTCCACTGAAATACCTATTCCACTGAATAGGAAGAAATGAGCTCTGGATTGTATTTCAGTCTGGCTAAGTGCTGGGTACTGTTCTGTTTTATTGAAATCATGTTTGGCCATGTGTTTATCTTGATCTTTCCTGATAAAACTTTGTTGTTGGTTTCCCCCCCCTTTTTATCTTTTTAGGCATTTCAAGAAGAAGTATAATATTTATTTGGTTTTTCTTCCTGAACTTTTATTCATGATGTGCATCTTTGGCTACCTTGTGTTTATGATCTTCTTTAAATGGTTGGCGTACTCTGCAGAGGACTCTGCATCTGCTCCTAGTATTCTGATTCACTTTATTAACATGTTCCTGTTTACTGGCGGTGAAACTGAAGTTTTCTACACCGGACAGGTTCGTAGTGTTCTCACAAGCTTCTGAAGATCCAGTGTTTCCTGCGTGGGTAACACTTTACCAGTTGTGAAAGGCTGATGGCTGAGCGTTCTAAGAAGGAAAATATATTGGACTAAGGGGAAACTGAATAAACATGGCAAAATAACATATTTACTCCTTAACTGGTTGTAAGATTTTTATGTAGTAACTTGTGAAAATACCTGGGTTAAAATTAAGGCTAGAGAACAGAATCACGTGCTTGTCATTTTGATACTTTTCTGTGTGCTGTAAATAATTGCACTAAACTTAGTAACGCCTTAATCTAGAACCCAGTCCTGAAGATTCTGAATGTCTGTAACCCAATTTGACGGCCTTATTACGTAAAGTTCTTGTGTGCATGTTCAATTTGGAGTATATACCCACTGAAATCAGTTGTAGTTTTCTAATGCTCAAACAAGCCTTTAAAGGAAATGGGAAGGCTTCTCCTCCTTTCACTTTTGTGATCTAATCTAATTTTTTCTTTCCCCCTCGAACAGGTTGCTCTGCAGAGGTTTTTACTTGGTATTGCTTTTCTTTGCGTTCCTGTATTGCTTTTTGGTAAACCGCTTTATTTATATTGGTTGCACAGCGGAGGCCGAGGCATTAGAATGTACAGGGTAAGTACTGAGAGACACGTTTCTGCAGTGTAGAAGAATTCAGCTGGAGTTGTATTGCGTATAGAGTAATGTTCTGTAGATCTATTCAGCTTGAGAAGTTTTGGATCATAATAGTACTTAGTTCCTCTATCTCTGGTTTTGCCTTTGCCTGTAACTACTTTAAATAAATTTTGAAAATGACACTGGCAGTCCACTTGAACACACAATACGTTTCCGTTTCGTAGAGTGGCTACAAGCTAATTCGAAAAGAAAGTGAAGAAGAACTTTCTCTGCTGAGATGTCATGATGTAGAAGAAGGAAGCAGTCATTCAGACAGTGGCCACAGAGAGGGGGATGGAGAAGAGGTAATGTTTTTCTTAATCTCTAGTTTGTATGTCCTTAAAAGGAAATTAGAAGTGGAATAATCAAGAAGATAATTTCCAAGGACTCAGTGTACAGGTTTCCAAGAAAATCAGCTGAGCCTTTGCAAAGACCTTGATGCCCGAATGCACTTATTTTTATTTGTTGCTATTTTATCATTATTTCTTGGTATATTCAGATTGCTACAGTAAATCACACTATCTGTAGTGGGGAACAGGAAGAGGGCTTTATTTTCTCTTGTGGACTGCATATAAGGCTGTAGGCTTTCTTAAATTGAAGAGCGGGATGAAAATCCTGGACATTATGTGGTTTTATGGATTCCTAAAATTAAGGCAAGAGGACAACTGCCCAGCTTCCTGTTAACTAATCTTGGCTTTTCATCCAGACAAAAGTCTTTTTATGGCTGCAAATTACATCTTGTGATGAGGATTATTACTAATGGGGATTTGTAGACTTGGGCGGCTCTTGGTCTCCAGCTAGTGCTGCTGTTCAGTTTGGGCAAAGTTTTAAAGGTCTTGACTCATTCTGATGATTTTACGTGAATTAAAAACCAAAGAATTGCTTTAGTTTCCCAGTGTGCAGACAAAGTATAGAATTTGGTTCACTGGGGTAGCAGACTCTTGCCTCTTATGCACAGAAAATACAAGAACTGTTTGCTTAAATAAAATGTTGAAACTAAGTGTTGAAATTTTCTGTAGTATTAGTCTTGGAACTTTTTGCTAGCAACAAGTATGTATATTTGGAGTTCAGCATTAATGTAGTTATTTTTCTATCACTAGCATGACTAATAACTAATCCTACTTTTAAAGATGAAGAAATTGATATTGTAAACTTACGATCTCAGTAGAATGGGAATTAGAACCATGGATGGTTTCACTGCTTTAGAGTTTTCAAATATTACATCATATTCCTTGGGGAAGGCATGAATTGCATTCATTTTTATCTATCAACATAGTAATTGGGGAAACTAACTGGAAAACTATAGCACCGATTTAGTTTTTGTTGATATTGTCGCTGTAATCAGGATCTTGAACAGCACATCTCTTTTTACTTGACATGAAATCAATGTATTACCCTTTGATGGATTTTTTTCTTTCATGTATATTAAAGTTTGCAGAAGAATGTTTTTATTCTCATGCTGTACCATGTCATTTATAAATGGATACAAATGTATTTTGTATTTTAGCTTAATTTTGCAGATGTTTTTATGAATCAAGCAATTCATACCATTGAATACTGTCTAGGATGTATTTCTAATACAGCCTCATACCTGAGACTCTGGGCATTAAGTCTTGCTCATGCACGTAAGTGGATTTTTAGTTTTGTTGGCTGGGTTTTTTTTAATTTGTCTTGATTTTTTATTCTGCCTAGAGGGAGGCTGGCCTGTTCAAGTGATACTACTATGATCTGATCTTTTTCTTAATTTTAAAAAAAAGCACTGTTTAAACTAATTATGATCTATGGAAGGCCCCCGAACTAAATTTGTGACTTACTGCTTGGAATCTGGTAATTTTCTTTATTGATTGCTCTCTGTTGTGAAGAGGCCAATTATCTGAGCACAGAACAGCGTAGCAGTAATCACAGGACCATTTCTTAATTTCCATTGATTGACTAGTTTGGAAGGTATTTAGGCACTTGCTAAAGTCTTAAGAGTCACAGTGTAAAATGTTGCCATCAGCAGATCTTATTTTGAAACATATTCTTTTAAGTTTTTTGGTTGGAGAGAGCGGGGTGCAACTAACTGGGGCCAGGGATTGCTTGTATTTCCCGTTTCAGCAGATTCTATAACATTGTTTGAACTAGAACATGGGTCAGTTAGAGTAGCTCATGGGGTGAATATATGCAATATCAGCATTAATTATGGAAAATTTTCATTTTTTTTTAAATAGAGTTATCAGAAGTTCTGTGGCAGATGGTGATGAGAGTGGGTCTTCGTGTGGATACAACATACGGTGTCTTACTGTTAGTCCCCCTTCTAGCCTTTTTTGCTGTGCTAACAGTTTTTATTCTTTTGGTCATGGAGGGGCTTTCTGCTTTTCTCCATGCTATACGACTTCACTGGTAAGGTTATTTTTTCTTTATGCCACTTTAGTGTATACTGGCTTGTTTAAGAGGAATTTGTGTGAGAATAGTAGGTGCCTTATTCGAACAAAAAGTGTAAAATTCAACAGCTTCATGCTACTGTAATATATTAAATAAATAGCATGTTAGTTGATAAGAATATTTTCAGTAAATTAAAATATTATATTGGTTTAATATGTATATTAACCTTGAGCACATTCAGAGTTGATTTTGGTGCAGGTCAATCTATGATATTGCAGGTTTTCTTACTGTAGAATATTAGTAACGTGGAGAAGTATTTTTAATTTCAGTCTGGTTATATCACTGAATGGCTTCAGTCTATTTGGTTCAAGAGAATGTTTGTATTAGTGAGCAAAACATTTGCTACAGTGGGGCTGCCAACCCTTAAGTATTTTAATCCTTTCTTAGTCTTAATATCACAGGCCTTGCATTTTGGAGTGCCTTCAGAGTTTGAAACCTGATGAAATTCACAGTATAAGAAAAGGCAGACATACGGCATCTGAACACGTGAGGCAGAGCTATATACATTACATAGTATTGTCCTCATGATACTGTAGATTTGCAAAACATTTAACTGTAACAAAACCAAATTAGTAAGACAGAAGTGAGAAATGAGCCATTACAGCACAAGGCCCGTGTGTTTGGGTCTCTTGAGAAACACACAATTTGCTTGGGTCTGTGGTAGGAAGGTTAAATAGCTGCCCAGAAAGTAGGATTGGTTTGGTTCAGCCTCTGCTGTTGCACAGTTCTGTCCCTTGACAACTGGTCGTTTTAGATTAACACATGGATTCTGTTTTTGTCTCGTTTCAGGGTGGAATTTCAGAACAAATTCTACTCTGGTGGAGGATACAAGTTTACGCCTTTCTCTTTTAAGCACATTTCTTTACATTTTAATAAAGATGATATGGCATAGTTTGGTTGCTGTCAGCAGAAATGTCTGGAACTGTCTGCAAATAATTGTGTGATTGGATCTCACCTCTAGATGGGTTCTTGTAGGACAAAGTGTTTTTCACTGATTGCCTTATAATGCAGCCAAATAATTCTGTAATATATACCTCCCATAGAAGTACATAGCAGATCTGGAGCATCTTGTAAAGTATATGGATGTAAAATGTACGTTTTTCTTGATAAACTAATGTAAATTAATTTTATTCTTAAAAAAAAAAAGTTGTTACTGCTTGTTCTAAAACCAGTGTAGGCTTCTTTTTGTTCAGGCTGTTTATTTTCTTGAATGATTACTTTTAAGTTATCTGAAAGACCTTTCATCATATTAACCATTTATTACTAATGCCATACTTAAGCACTTTGGGAACAATTCAGCAATGCAACAGAAGCAATGTATGGTTTTTTGGTACTCATTCCCTCAGGATTATGAAATGCAAATTTATGTATAGCAATGCACCCTGCTCTTTTTTGGCCATATTTAAAAATGCACTGAAACTGTAAACTGTTAATTCTGAGTTCTGCCCAGAGATACTACTGTAATCTTTCAGAAGCCACAGTTCTATTTGATGTTATGGAAGAAGGCAGGATTAGAAACTGAAAACATTAGCCTTCTGCGTTGGCTGTAGCGAGGGCCTTTCCCCCAGGTGCCTGGCTGCAGCGCCTCGGAAAACATCTTGTGCTGTCTGGGTGAGGACTCGAATAAAAGAAGCGGGATGCCTGCTAGAAACTTTTACCCCAAGTTCTATTTTTGTAATGCGGTCCTATGCGGAGTTTCTACTCTTAGGGATAACTTTTGCATGGGGACTAACAAATCGGCCTTGTTCCCTGTCGGTGTTTGGCTGCAAGGACATACACGGTGTTATTTGGTGGTGTTCAACCAACGCTTTTACCCAGTAGGTGGAAAGGGGCCGTTTTCATTATAAAAATGGGGATACTACCATAATGTTTTAACCTCTCTGCCATCGGAACTAGCTCCAGTTAAATTTTGCACTTGTTTCATACGGACTCCCAATAAAAACCTCCCGTGCCCTGTGTACGTTGTGCCCTTGGGCTGCACCGAGCGCCGCCGGGGCAGGGCCGGCCCTGAGGGGAAGGGCCTCCC